GCTATTGAAAAATGAGAATTTTCTTTGAGGGGGGGATCTAACACATTACTGACTAACTTATCCCTTAGTAGGAGCTTTTTTGTAGTGCTATAAATCCTGTATAATAATAATACAAGTTTAGGTTTATCTGAGTTAATAGCATTTAGTTGTTTATCTTGTTTTAATATTGGCCAATATTTACTTATATACGCTTCACTCTCTTATATCAGGAATTATAATGTAAAACTGCAGTCGCAGAACAATCTTCACCATTTTCCTTGCCTATTTTATCTATTAACCCATCCCTCCTGATTTTCTTGACCATATCCCTTTCTCTCTCTGAAATGGTTTCCTTATCACTTTTCTCTTTAACCTCCCTGGCTGTATTGCCGAGTGTAGCTCGGGGTTAATTATCAGTGCCAAAAGCGGTAACCCCAAGCTACACTCGGGATTACCCTGCAGAGTTGCTCTGGGATTCCCTTGATCACTTACCTTGTCCTGCGCTCCTGCGATGTGTCCCCTGCTTCGTCCCCGGCCATCTTGTCTGGCCAATGCCGGCATCTGTCTAAAGGGTTCCGGTCCCTGCGAGCATCGGGACGTACGGGGGCCGGAACCGGCGGGAAATTTAAAACTTTTAAAAAGTGACATTCACTAATACACTAAAATCACATAGTAAAACATTACTGTTTCAAAGCATTTCGCACACGTTTTGTCCCTACTGCTTTGTCCTGTGCTCTGCCTGCATTTTTACTGTTCTTTCCTGCCTGGAAACTGAGAAATGTCCATGGCGTCCAAAAAGCGTCCCTTTATGTCAAAAGCGGATTTAGATCAGCTAGAATACAGCGATAGTAAATCAGAACCACTTGCAGAATTGAGTGATGATTTGTGGGGAAATTAGTCATCAGACACTGAAAATGATTTTGCGACTAAGCTCAGTGATGTGCGAACTTGGCACTATATTTCAAATTTCATTGTTTTTGGTTTGATTATATTATTGAATTAAATTTATTATTATAATATTTTTTATGATTATATTTTTATTTATGATTTCGTGTTTCAAATTTTTATCCTACCCCTGATGTTTACTAGATTCTTGTTCGGACAGATTTCAGTGAGTTATTCCTAAAAATTACAGGCCTACAATAAAAATACATATTTCCATGCAAAAAAATGTACCGCTTTGAGCACAGAAATATTGACATCATACCGCTAGGGAGGTTAAGTCTATAGGCTATAGCTTTTGACTGTTGTTCAAAATCCATCTGTGTAGTACACTTCCTTTTTATCCTCATAATTGTCCTCTGCGGACATTGGTAAGCCAAGGCTTACAGTGGGGATCGAAAGTTTGGGCACCCTAGCTAAAAATTTGTATTAATGTGCATAGAGAAGCCAAGGAAAGATGGAAAAATCTCCAAAAGGCATCAAATTACAGATTAGACATTCTTATAATATGTCAACAAAAGTTAGATTTTATTTCCATCATTTACACTTTCAAAATAACAGAAAACAAAAAAATGGCGTCTGCAAAAGTTTGGGCACCCTGCAGAGTTAATATCTTGTACTGCCCCCTTTGGCAAGTATCACAGCTTGTAAACGCTTTTTGTAGCCAGCCAAGAGTCTTTCAATTCTTGTTTGAGGTATCTTAGCCCATAAATCTCAAAGAACTGGAAGACTTTTGTAAGGAAAAATGGGCAGTCTGTCACGCACTGCTTTTTTAAGGTCTATCCATAGATTTTCAATTATGTTGAGGTCAGGAGGTTGTGAAGGCCATGGCAAAACCTTCAGTTTACGCCTCTTGATGTAATCCCCCGTGGATTTCGAGGTGTGTTTAGGATCATTATCCATTTGTAGAAGCCATCCTCTCTAACTTCAGCTTTTTCACAGATGGCATCAAGTTACCATTCAAAATTTGCTGAAATTTTATTGAATCCATTTTTCCTTCTACTCGTGAGATGTTCCCTGTGCCACTGGCTGCAACACAACCCCAAAGCATGATTGACCCAACCCCATGCTTAACAGTTGGACAGAGGTTCTTTTCATTAAATTCTGTGCCCCTTCTTCTCCAAACGTACCTTTGCTCATTCCGGCCAAAAAGTTCAATTTTAACCTCATCGGTCCACAGAACTTGTTTCCAAAATGCATCAGGCTTGTCTATATGTTCATTTGCAAAGTTCAAACGATGATTTTTGTGGTGAGGACGTAGAAGAGGTTTTCTTCTGATGACTCTTCCATGAAGACAATATTTGTACAAGTATCTCTTTATAGTGGAATAGTGTACCACACCTCCAGTGTCTGCCAGATCTTTCTGGAGGGATCGTGCAGTCAAACGTGGGTTTTGAATTGTTTTTCTCACAATCCCGCGAGCTGTTCTGTCTGATATTTTTCTTGGTCTTCCAGATCTTGCTTTAACTTCCACTGTTCCTGATGACTGCATTTCTTAATTACATTCCGAACAGAGGATATTGACATCTGAAAACGCTTTGCTATCTTCTTATAGCCTTCTCCAGCTTTGTGAGCGTCAACTATTTTCAGTTTCAGGTTTCTAGACAACTGCTTAGAAGAACCCATGGTGCCGATTGTTGGGGCAAGGTCAGATGAGTCTGGGCATTTAAAACCTTTGAGATTGACATAACCTGGTCTTCCCATACGATGATTGAGAACAATCCATGACACTGGCAGGTCTCAGCTTGGCAAAGGGGGCAGTGCATGCTATAAATTCTGCAGGGTGCCCAAACTTTTGCAGACGCCATTTTTTTGTTTTCTGTTATTTTGAAAGTGTAAATGATGGAAATAAAATCTAACTTTTGTTGACATATTATAAGAATGTCTAATCTGTAATTTGATGCCTTTTGGAGATTTTTCCATCTTTCCTTGGCTTCTTTATGCACATTAATACAAATTTTTAGCTGGGGTGCCCAAACTTTCGATCCCCACTGTATATAGGAAACTATCAGCAGGTATATATGAATTTCTCTTGGTGCACTTAAAGTATGTTCTTATTATATCTTCATCTTCAATTATAAATCAAGAAAAAGTAAATGATTCTTACTATATTCCCAGGTGAGTTTGATAATCCTCTCATTCATTTTCACTAAACTAAATAACAGATCTAGTAAGCCCTCTTGATTTCCCTCCCATAGGATGATCAGGTCATCAATAAATCTACAATATAATGTAATATGAGAGATATTTTATTAAATTCTCTCCTCCTCTCATTGGGCCATATAGATATTAGCTATATTTGGCGCCCATTGCCACTCCTGATTTCTGCAGATAATACTTGCCTTGGTACCAAAAATAATTGAGGCAAAAATCTAAGCATTTCAAAATAAATTTCTTATTTTTATTAGATATTTTAGTACTTCTTTTTAATGCCATTTCTGAAGCTCTCCTAGCTCCCTCATAGTTGATGTCGGTATACAGAGCGGCTACGTCTGCTGTAACCATGATGATGGTCTCCGCTGTACTTTTGCTATTTTGTAATAATTAGAGGATATGTTTGGTATCTTTCAAATAAGCTTTTGTTCCCTGTACTAACGTGTGTAGGAAGAAATCAATATACTGTAGCAGTCTTGCTGTTAAAGAATCAATTCCTATTATTATAAGACGCCCTGGCAGGTTTTTACTACCCTTATATATCTTTCTACAAATTGGCATCCTGCAGTAATTTATCCATTATCTCCATTCTATTAACCACCTCCCGTCCGGCCGTTGTATATAAACGGCCGGACAGTGGCAGTGCAGGATCGGGTGGCTGTTTATAAACGGCCTCCCCGCTCCCTTGGAGCGTGCAGCACCGCGATCCGGTGCCCGCTGTGTTCTCCGGACACCGTGGAACACCAGTCGTCGTACGGGACCTCTGTGCGAGGTCCCAATCATGTGATCACTCGTTGGCCAATCAGTGATCACATGCAGAGTAGTAAGCAAGATGTCACTTCTGACATCATTGCTTACTACGTGTGAAATCTGTGAATGATCACAGAGGGCTATTCACAACAGTCTTGTACCATGTGGCAAGCTGTGACCAATCACAGCTCACACAGTAGTTCTCAATGGCTGCTAGAATGCAGCCAGAGAGGAGGAAAAATGATTGCTTTTACAGCCTTTATGGGTGTAAAAGCAATCAGTGTAAAAAAAAAAAAAAAAAAAAAAAAAAAAAAAATCTTCATCACCCCCCATAAGTAGTACAATGTCACCATGGTGACACTGTACTGCTAGGGTGACCGTATGTAAAAAAAAAAAAAAAAACAAACAAATATAAAAATTAAATAATGTTTAAAAATTTTAATTTTTGGTTATAAACCAACTTGGGTTATTTTTATTTTATTTTTTTACTAAAAAGATAATGGAATAAATTTTGGCCAAGATTTATGATGAAATATTATTTACTTGCAAAATTTTATAAGAAAAACACTTTTTTTTTTTCAAAATTTTTGGACTTTTTCATTTACATAGCCAAAAAAATAAAAATCCCAGTGGTGAATAAATACAGCGATTGCAGCGATTTACCGTGTTTTGTCGCGTTTTCAGCATTAGAGCGTTTTTAAAGTTAAACTCCCCTAGAAACCCACTAGTTCTGGGGTTTTCTTCCAGCCAAAAAAACACTGATTACAAGTCTGTGTGCATGAAGACATAGGATAACATGCTGGGGAGTTTACTGGCTGTAGCAAAAAATGTCAAAAGCCAAAAACAGCAGCTGTAAAAACATCCAGTGTGTATGAGAACTAAAGCATTCCTCAGCTGCATATAGTATTTCAGGAGATGAAGAAACACTGTCACCCAACGAATTCTTAATCTTTGGGATCCTGGTTTTGAGGGCCAATTAATATAATTATCATGTAGAGGTCTCATTTTAATGTATTTTTACTAATTGTATTCGTTTTACTGCAACAGAAGAAGGCAGAAGGGTGATTTAATGCACCAAATCTCCACCTAATACTAAAGCATCAATTTAAAATGGCCTGACTTTTTATTTTTTTTTGTTTTTTGTTTTTTTTTTTTTTTTTTTTTTTAACCTTCAGATTAAAGAGTTGCCAACCCTGAAAGACATGGATTTCTTAAACAAGAGTCAGAAATTGTATGTTGATGAAGAGCAGAAGAAGACATTCATGGAGAAACTGAAGCGTGATGTTGAGGTAGCTGAACCCCTTGATTAGGTGTCTAATAGTATTTGTGGCATATAATGTAAAAGTTGAATCAACTAACTGGTGACGTATTTTTTGTTATCTTATTGGCCTTTTACAGTACATACTAAAGGCAAAACATTTTTTCTTTTTTTTTTTTACATTCTGGATAAAGTGAAAAAGGATTAGAACATGTCAGGTTTTCTTGCTTTCTATGTCCCAGTTAGGAAGATTTGTCATCCTTATTTGTCATGTTTACCATTATCGAAAGTGAAAATGTGACATTTCTATTCAAAAAAGTGACAGTTGCGTTTTGCATTACCTTACTATGTAATGGAAAAAATATTTAGCTCTCCCCCACACCCTTAATGTGGCTTCATGTCTGACTCCTTGTTAAAATACCCTATATACAGTGAGGAACAGAAGTATTTGAACACCCTGCAATTTTGCAAGTTCTCCCACTTAGAAATCATGGGAGGGGTCTGAAATTCACATTGTAGGTGCATTCCTACTCTGAGAGACAGAATTTTAAAAAAACAATTCAGGAAATCACATTGTATGCTTTTTAAAGAATTTATTTGTCTTGCACTGCTGAACATAAGTATTTGAACACCTGAGAAAATCATTGTTAATATTTGGTACAGAAGCCTTTGTTTGCCGTTACAGAGGTCAAACGTTTCCTGGACTTCTTGACCAGGTTTGCACACACTGCAACAGGGGTTTTTGGCCCACTCCTTCACACAGATCTCCTCTAGATCTGTCAGGTTTTGGGGCTGTTGCTGAGCAACACGGAGTTTCAGCTCCCTCCAAAGATGTTCTATTGGATTTAGGTCTGGGAGACTGGCTAGGCCACTCCAGAACCTTAATATGCTTCTTACGGAGCCACTCCTTGGTTATCCTGGCTGTGTGCTTCAGGTCGTTGTCATGTTGGAAGACCCAGCCACGACCCATCTTCAATGCTCCAAATCTCACAATAAATGGCGCCATTCATCCTCTCCTTAATACAGTGCAGTCGTCCTGTCCCCTTTGCAGAAAAGCACCCCCAAAACATGTTACCACCCCCATGCTTCACAGTAGGGATGGTGTTCTTGGGATGCAACTCATCCTTCTTGTTCCTCCAAACACGACGAGTGAAGTTTAGACCAAAAAGTTTGCTTGGCAATTGCCCTGTAGCCCTTTCCAGCCTTGTGGAGGTCCACAATTTTGTCTCTGGTGTCTTTTGACAGCTCTTTGCTCTTGCCCATGGTAGTAGTTGGCGTCTCACTGACTGTGGGGTGGACAGGTGTCTTTAAAGAGCTCAGACAGGTGCTACTAAGTTAGATTAATGCATGGAGTAGAGGTGGACTTTTTAAAGCACAGTAACAGGTGTCTGAGAGCCAGAATTCTTGCTGTTTCTTAGGTGTTCAAATACTTATGTTCAGCAGTGCAAGACAAATAAATTCTTTAAAAATCATACAGTGTGATCTCCTGAATTTTTTTTTTTTTTTTTAAATCTGTCTGAGTGGGAATGCACCTACAATGTGAATTTCAGACCCCTCCATGATTTCTAAGTGGGAGAACTTGCAAAATCGCAGGGTGTTCAAATACTTCTGTTCCTCACTGTATTCCACTTCTGGGTATATTTATTTTTATACATGAGTTATATGTATTATTACTTTCACAGTATACATTAACCCCTTATGGTAGTGATCATTTGTTTTTGCACTATAAAGGGCTAATTTTTGTTTTTAATCCCATCATGACAGGTGATACAAAAAGCATGATGCTGCTACTAAAGACCAATTTACACTTTGCGCAGTGACAGACATTTTACACAAATGCTAAAACGTCTGTCACTGCAGAGACACAGAGGAAACAATTGTTTCCAATGTGTCTAGTTCACACTGCAATGCGGCCTAGCGCTGCGCTATAATGCAGACCTGCTGCATTTTATCGCAGCGCACTGACCCGAATTGCACTGCAATGTCAGGCAGCACAGCGCCCAACATTGCAGTGAATGAAGTGTACATTTTTTACACTTCAAATAACGCTTTTTCAAAACCAAAAAAAAGGAACCGTGCAGTGCTCTAAATTGCGCACCACACTGTCCCCTAGTGCAGCCGGTGACAGAGCTGTCGCAGTGGTAAAGTACTGAAGCAGCTCTCCATATAGTGAAGAATTTGCCCTAAATGTCTTCGTGATTCAGAGGCAGGTAGCTTGTGTGTACATTTTTCAGGCAATAAAGAGTTTATTCTTTTAATAGAATATATAAAAAGAACACCATGAGAGAGGTTCACTAATTTTACATTTCTTTGCTTGAAACTTTATCCTGAGAACAAGATGTTCTTGCACTATATATGCAGTGAAAACTGTCTTGACTAGGGTTTATAAAATGCTATATCTAAAGAAAAGAGAATGTATTCAAACTAATATGAGTTTGGTGCTCGCTGCCTGTTTTTTGGTTTACTATATTTTATTTATATTGCACATCCTCATTCTGTAGTGCTTTACAGTAGATGCCCTAATACAAACATATTACATGTGCATTAACACTTTATCCTTCACAAAAGCACACTGGAACAAGATGTCAAAGGTTTAAAGTGGTATTTACAGGCTTACCTGTAAGTATAAATCAAGAAAAAGGACTTTACTACCACTCTAAAAGATCTCGGCTTTTCACCTCATGAGGCGGGTAGAGGAGGCTGTATGAGCAGTTTGTGTTTTTTTGTTTTTTTTTTTTTTTTTTTTCAATATTAGGCTGCCTAAGCAGACAGCAGGGTTCTCCCATTAAATCACTGTCTGATCTCAGTTCATCCGGGGGATGTGCCTGATCATGGTGCTGTGAGCAGCGTGAGGCTCTAGGCGTCTGCCAGCTATGGGAGAATTGGCATGCCCAACTGCTCTGAACTGACCTGAAGGGTTCCCAGCTGGAGAAGAGCAGGGGGGACCACGGTCCATCGATGGCCGGATGGCTTCGGTGACTGCCGGTGGGGGTGGAGAACCTCCATGGAGTTGGGTCCCGGGAGCTGCCAGCTAGCCTGCAGTCAGTAGCGGCTGGGAGGAGTGCAGGAGATCTGGGTCCTAAGCGGGCTGGGAGCCGGAGGCGGCTGCTGGGAGTGTCCAGGCAGCAGTGGAATTTCCAGCCCACAGAGAAGCCTTAATGGACCGGGAGAGCAGGAAAAACTGTGGAAGAAGCAGAAATAAGGCTCTGGAAGGATCCCTCCTGTGCTGAGCTATTGACCTCAGTAGACCTAGAGACCCCCCCAGACAATCATAAAGACACAGAGTCCCCCACACAGGTGTGTTCGGAAGCCTGACGCTGAAATAAAGGCTGATGAGCGAACAGGGATTGATCAGTATTGCATGGTCGGTTCGGGAGTGATGGTGAGTTTACGTGGGTAACGGCAGGACACTCTGTGATATCTGATGTATATGTGACAATGAAAAGTCAAACGTGAGCATTGGGACTGTCAGAGGAATACACTGTGGGGAGTTCTTAGGTTCTCTTAGTGCTCTCAGGCCAGGGGAACTGATTTACTTTTTCTGGCTCCCAAAGAAATGGAATAGGAGTAGCATTAATCACTAGAAGTAAAAGAAAGGACCTCTCCCTGGGGACGATTTTCTCTGTGTTACAACGGAAAAAAAAAAAAAAAACCAGTGCGAGGATATGCAGGTGATTACCTATGTGGCAGTTATTGAAAGCTGAGATAATAGAAAAGTAAAAAGAGAGTTGAACCAGGAATGAAGGGCATATCGGCTAAAGGCTGGGGCTCAAAACCCCCCAACCAAATGCAAAAGCCACTACAATTAAAAAATATATGGAGAAAAGTCCAGAGAATCAATCTCCGGAAAGTCAACAAGTAGGGAACCAGACTAATGAATCAAATAGTTTGGGCTGTGTTATGGAACAAAGTGTCACAGAACACAAAAACAGATATGGCGGAAATGTTTGCAAAACTGGAGATGTCTTTGAAAAATGAGATGAGGGCACTACGCAATGATTTAGGTTGGATATTAATGCGTGTGGAAGAAGTAGAAGGGAGAATGGAGGCACAGGCTCAATTAATCAATAAATTAGAAATGCAGATGGAGATGTGCAGAGAACAGGAAAAGCTCTCATTTAAAGTTGAAGATCAGAAGAACCGTGACAGAAGAAAGAATCTAATGATCCGGGGCTTACCAGAAGCAGAACAGGACTTAGTGGAGATAATGAAGAGTGTGTAATCCAATAATAGGAAGACCAGTGCAGAAAACCTGAAAATTGAGAGAGTACATAGGGTTAGATGGCCAAAAGGAGCAGCAGCGGAAAACCCCGGAGATGTGACAATTCGGTTTCATCATTCCAAAGTTAGAGAGTATGGAAAAGCTTGCGGGACACTACTGAATTAAAATGAGGAAACAAAGTAGCCAATTTTCGCTGATATTGCTCCAGAAACACTGGCTCGAAGATGATCTCTGAAATTGTTGTTGGAGCACATGAAAGAAAAAAAGTTTGATTATAACTGGGGCTTTCCAGCCTGCTTGATGAGATGAAAAGATAGAAAATCAGCAAGGCTGAAGTTTCCAGAAGACCTCGGAGACTTTTGTGAAAAATTAGACTTACAGAAAAAAGACCTTGAAGGGTGGTCAGAGGGGCTTAGAGAGAGGAGGGCAGGGGTCAGGTAAATGGCAGTGGGTATCTAGGAAGAAGAAATAGGGAGTCATGGTGTGTGTGTGTGTGGGGGGGGGGGGGGGGGGGGGGGGGGGGGGGGGGAGGCTTGGAGAGAGGTGGTGTTGTTTTTTTTTTTTTTTTTTTTTTTTTCTTTCTTCTTCCTTCTTTCTTCTCTCTCCCTCTCCCTGTTCCTTAGTCCTTCAGCTTCGGTCCCTCTCTTCCCTGCGAGATAAGGGGAGGGGTAGAGAGGGCATAGATCTGGTGGGTGGCCTGGAGGTCAAGCACGTTGTCCGCTCCAATCTGACTGATGTTATGAGCTAGGGATTGGAGTGGGCGTGCGTGTTCTGAGTCTCACCCCAAATTAGGCATTGCGAGTGGGAACAATCCACGTCAGATTCTGGGG